TTAATGTTCGCCATAGAAACTCTGCAAGGAATGTAGAAGGCAAGCAAGGCTGCTTAACTCATATGGCTCTTACCTAATTTGTTTATTTTATTTTATATAGACATGTGATTAATTAGCACTACGTACTAAATGATTGAGTAAACATTGTTGTTAACATTACCTGTAATAGATTATTTTCTAACTTAAAAAAAAAAACAATTGAAAAAAGGAATAACGTAGTTGGCAACAATTCTTTTTGGTTATCCAGATTGAATGATAAATTAAGCTCCAAACAAGAAAAACCCAGTAATATGCTAATATGCAAGTGGAAGGAGCTAAAATGGAACTTGACACATTGGCCCCACGGGCAGAGTATAATAGTTGTCTTTATATGAAATATTAATGATTATTTTTGTTGATCACATTATATAGAATTTGGCTAATCACTATTCATCAATCCAATTCGTCAATTTTTGACGAGTCTGAAAAGAGGATAACTTAGGGCTGTTCACGGTTCGATAACCGTATCTTGGAGGAGTTGACGACCACCGAACCGGAGGTCATCGGCGCACCTATTTTGGAGACCGCCGCCGCGCCGAGGAGATGCAAGACCGACTACAATCGGCACGCCAAGAAGTCGGTGCGGTTTGGTTTGGTTCGGCGAGCATCGATGGCAGATGATTGAACTGAGATTGAGGGCTTGAGGACCACTTCCTGGTTGAGGGTATGGGGAGGAAGAAGAAGAAAAGAAGAAGAAGCCAAGGAAGAAGAACGAAAGAAGAAGATGGAGAGAAGAGGGAAAGAAGAAGAAGAAGATGCAGCCAGCAGCTTGAGGACCACATTTTTGGTTGAGGGTATGGGAAGGAAGAAGAAGAAAAGAAGAAGATGCAGCTATTTACCCAAAAAAAAAAAACAAAAAGAAGAAGATGCAGCGGCGGGAGGAAGAAGAAAGAAGAAAAAGAAAAAAAGAAAAGAGAAGGAATGAAAAAAAGATGGCGAGAGAAGAAAGAAGGGATGACGGCTGGGATGGGAGAAGAGAAAAGAAAAAGAAAAGGAGAGTCTGGGGGCAGGGAAAACCCCAACTTTTTTTTTAAATGTTCTAGATTGTAATAAATAATACAATTATACACATATTGCACAAGAAGCCACATCAGTCCAGTGGTATTTAGGCTTTGTTTCAGAGTTCGATTCCCCATCATGGCATTTGTCTGAATTTTTAGGCAATTTAACGGGTCAGCCAATTTTTCATGCTGATTTCAATTATTTTAATTAAAAAATCGAATCAACCCGCCAAAACCGGTCCGGTTCTGTAAGACCCGTGTCTCCGAAGTTAAGCGAGTTGGGGGCCAGAGCAATCCCAGGATGGGTGACCCACTGGGAAGTTGCTCGTGAGCTCCCAGAAACAAAACCGTGAGGGCCAGAGAGGGGGGGCCCAAAGCGGACAATATCCTGCTACAGCGGAGCCGATCTGGGATGTGACAATTTGGTATCAGAGCCACTCTGCCGTATGGTACGAGTGTGCCGACAAGGACGTTGGGCCCTTAAGGGGGGTGGATTGTGAGATCCCATATCGACCAACGAAGAGTGGGTGATGTTCCTTATATATACACACCCGCATCCATATAGCACGAGGCAAACCCAATAAATGTTTGAAAAGTCTTTACTTAATCCATGCTACCCCTTCTAACAAAAATCTGCCACCAGAGTACAAACCCAATAAATGCTTCTTCGTGTAGATGTAAATGTGGATTTTGAAATTGTGAAATCCTGAAATCGTCATCAATTAATTTGGATGGAAGGTCCCTCAGAGTTAATTTACATGCGTCCCTGCTTGTTTAGATGTAGACTCTTCTAATCTTGATTAAAAACTTCATACGTGTAATATATAAGAGATCACGGGATAAGTTTGATTCATGAGCACTTAGGGACGGACCCAGGATTTCAAAATTGCGTGGGCTAAATTTACCTTACATACCTATTGAAAACTCAACGGTACGAGTAAATTTCATTGATAACAAAAAAATACAAAGGGGGACATAATGAGCCCTAAAATTTCATTGATACTTCATAAACTCTAAATAATCCCCAAAATTTCAAAAGAAAAGAAGATGAAGAATGGAAGATTACCTTAGTTTGCTTTAATTAAGTATGAGGACATGCATAATTTTCCCTTTTGACGAAAAGCGGGAGTTAGCCGCTAACGGATGGTCTACTATTGTGCAAGAGAGAGAGAGGGATTATTTTTTTTTTTTGGTAAAGGAGAGAGGGAATGTCTCTACCTAGTGTAGTGATTTTGGAATAGATGGGCACAGTAGCGGGATAAGTTAATAATTGTGGGGTTTAGTTCTTTTTATTTATTTGTTGGTCAGCCTAGTCCATGTGGGATTAGTTAATAATATTTTATTGGGTGATCAGCCTAGTCTTAGTAGGATTAGTTAATAATATTTTATTTGGATGACCTAGGCTAAAGTATTAATTTGGTCTTTAAAAAAAACAAAGTTGCCTGGGCTTTAGCCCAGGTTAGCATGCTATTGGGTACGTCCCTGTGCGCACTGTTGCGCTCTCTATAATGCTAAGCTGGTTCCTCCACTGTTTGGAAGAACTTCTAGTGCTATGTTTTGGCGTGAGCCATAATTTAGGGATTCTGTGATCCCCGATTTTCTGGTTTAATTCACATTATCTAATTAGAATAATTACTTAGTTAGGATTCCTTGTAATTAGCTAATTACTTTTCCTTATAGGAAAAGTCAACTTGTACTTGTATATATATCCTCCTCTTTGAGAAATATAATATCAATCACAATTATTCAATCCTATGTTTTGTTTGAGGTGTAGCTATTTTTCCTTGGTTTTACTTTGCAGTCATCTGGTTAATTACACCATAAGAACCCTTACAGAATACAAAGTGAAATCAGTTCATCTATAAATATCAACAACATTACCGTTATGATATTGGATTTAATTTTCTGGTTTTGCATTCTTAAAGTTGTACGTATTTAATTGCACATAAGTAAATTAGTTTATATGAATCATGGCTATGTGGGTATAGCATGTATAGTGTATTTTATTCACCAAATTATGTCCCATTTATTTAAAAGGCCTCACTTCGAACCTAATTTATTTGTAACAGATAGTTAATCATCCTTAAATTACTAGGCTAATCTGCTTTTTTATTATTATTATTATTATTTTTTCCAGCAAATATGCAAATATGCATATGCCTTGGTGTAATATTTCTACGTTTTGTTGTGTGTGTGAATTTTCAACATCTTGAGTACGTACATTCCACACGGCACAAAAGATGACTAAATATGCAAACTCAAGTCTTCGACGGCACCTTGACCAAAAAAAAAAAAAGGTCTTCGACGGCGACAAAAGATATTTGTTTGCTTGGAAGACAATTAATACAGATGAAGATATCTTCTTCGATAAGTTCAGGAAAATGGTTACCATGAAAAGTATTTTTTTTTTTATATACAATGAACTATGTATTAGAAAATGTCCCAAGTCTGTTGATTAATTCTATATTACAAGGAAAATAATAACTCGGATCTTGAATTAGATAGTTTGAATTGTTGAATCACTTTTCGAAATTCCAAACAATGCAATTCTTTTCCACCCTTATCATAATGAATCCCTCTTATTGAGCTTGACCATTTATTAAGCTTGACCTATAGTAGTAACATGTCGTAATCAAAACATGAGTTTAAAGTTTTGACCGAGTAAAAGGAACCAGAATACTTTGTTCATGTCAAGCGAACCAAACTGGTCATGAATTGACTAATGTAATCGTGCATTAATTCTTTATAAATAAGTGCAATTGACAAATAAGTTTATCAATTGATTAATTTGTAACGGTTGACTGAATAATATAATAAGCAGCAAAAACAAACAAAAACTATTTATCACAAAACGTCCCTAAGGTTTACGAAACTATCAGATTGCATCCTTAATGTTTTTTTGCGTCATTCGTGATCCTCAATGTTAGTATGTGTGATCACAAATGGTCCCTGCCGTTAGGTTCCATCAAAAACTCCGTTAGTTTGCTGACGTGGCATGTATATGTATCACAAAACATCCATGAGGTTCACGCACCTATCACAAATGGTCCCTGCAAATTTTTTTAATTTTTTTAATTTAAAATTCATAAAATTTTGGTTTTTTTTAAAATCTTATGAATTTTAAATTATTTAAAAATATATATTGTATTTTAAATGAACATGACACTATATTATTGTAGATGTGGGCCCCACATATATGTCACATCAACAAACTAATGGAGTTTTTAAAAAATAATTTAAAATTCATAAAATTTAAAAATGAAAAAAAACCAAGGGTTTAGGGTTCATAAATGGTCCTCAAGGTTAAAATCCATCTATAAATGATTTTTTTCATTTTTAAATTTTATGAATTTTAAATTATTTTAAAAAAACTTCATTAGTTTGTTGATGTGGCATATATATATGTGGAGCCCACATCTTCAAAAATATAGTGCTAAATAGTTGTACTGATTGAGAAGGGTATTTTTTTTTCCCGACATTACCTAGAAACCTTCAGGAGGGACGAACAATGGAGGCTCAGCTGATTGTGGATCTTTCAGCATTTCATTTGGAGATAATTCTAATTATTTTTGGGAAAAGTTTCATTAGAAGCCAAAATGCATTCTTGTGGGTATTTATCAGATTTCTGTACATAAATAATGAAGTAATGATGTGAGATATATGAATGAACAACAATATATCATGAAGTTTACACATATAGTTTTACACTGTAACTTATAGGTTTAAAATGGAAATATAGGAAGCCTATGATGACAAGTTAGGTACATGGATAGATGAATCAGTATGCCCTGATAAGATATTTCCATCATTTTATTCATTTTCATTCACATCAATATTGTTCTCCACTGCTGAGCTGTTCTGCATATCATTTGCATCCTGTAAACCTCCTATAGCTGTCTCATCAGGAGTATCCATAGCATGTACTCTGGATGTTCTTCGCGTAAAAGGATGTGAAGTGAGATCTTTCTTGTCAAAATGCTTTGCCAATTCAACCAATTTAGACCAAAATGAGCTCTCAGAACTTATCATCGCCCTCAATGTAGGCCAATGTGAGCAGAGGAAGCTGTACATGTACATCAGAAGTGAAAACACGGAGACCGCACCTACAATGATGAAGAGTCCCCCAAAGCTGTACACATGAAGGCTTCGACCATCTGAAGAAATTTTGGCACCTTGATCATCACAGATGGTTTGGTTTGTAAAGTACTGGGACTCAATTGAATCCATCAATTTTTTATCTTGAGTGACTTTTAAGATTGCCGTTGACATGTAGGAGACTAGAGGTGATCCTTTCGGGAAGGCCTGATAACAAAGACAAAAAAAATAAAAAGTAAAGAAAAGTTTAGCATATGGATGTATAAAATGGATCCATTGCTGCATATATACTCTGCGTTTTATGGATTAATTATGAAAAACAAGAAGACAATCAAAGAAAATTAAGAGGGAACTCACAAAGCCGAATCCGTCAGTTTTGTAGGTTGGTCCAACCATGGTGTACTTGGAACAGTTCTTTGCTATGAACAGCTTAAGGTAAGGGATTTCGTCAATTATGGCAGCGACTCCACCATTGTTACTTCCTTTGGATAGTGCATCATTATACTGCTCAATAGTGTCGTAAGCCTTCAACATGGACTCCTTGAGCCCTAAATTTTCTGTTAGAAACCCTTTAATAAATGAATTATTTTGATATCCTACAGAATAACCTTTCATTTGGATCTCTCCTATATCAGTAAATAAAGGTTTCAATTTCTGCACTGTTAACATTGAGGCTAAGCTTGCAGCGTAACTCTGTGTCAGGATCAATACCACAAAAACCCATATAATCAACACTAAACGTGTCCAGTTGTTCACTACTTTCTCCCCTATAGAATTACAAAAGCAAAATTAATTAGTATATAAAATGCTTCACCAAGCATTTTCACATGTTCTAACGTATTTTTTTTCTGTTAGTCAGAACAGGTTTCTAATTTGTTATTTTGAAGAAAGAAACAAAACAAAACAAAAGGCTTTGATAAGGACAAGATAATTTACTTTGAGCAAAGACAAGAGTTGAAAAGGAGAACCAGAATATCATGCCAAGTTGTTGCTCTGGAGGACCTCTAAACTCAGTGTTTACTCGGTGTTCAAGAACCCATATCACACAACCTGTAAATATGAAGGCTGCCCCCGTTGTCAACCAAAGATCCAAGCTTAGGGGCTTCAAGAAAATCCAAATATTGTCTCTTTCATTATCTTCCGTCAAAACTACCATCGACACTCCAGATTCTGAATAAGGCAACGTAAAATCTACATACGATGAGCGATTAGCTACAATTGTTGTGTCTCCCACCACAGCATCATATGTCTGCATTTAAATCACCAATTGAAAAGTACATTAGAGAAGGAGATAGAGAGAACGAGAGGATGACCATTAATTTACCCTGTAAAATAAAACTTACCCCTGCTTTGATTTGCCAAAGAAGATTATCATATGTCCCATTGAATGGAAGGAAGTCATGGGGAAGGGGAAATGGTAGTTTATTCACTGCAGCAAAGAACACTAGAGCAGAGAATCCTGATATGTTATTGTTCTTTTCCACTTTTAGGAATTCATTAAAACCCTCTTTCACTGGAACTCCAATCCTCAGTTTCTTTGTTGCAGGCTGATCTGTAGTGTCCCCTGGCCAGATTGCCTGCTTGAGTTTCCTCTTTACATCTGTGTTTGCCGCTTCCCTGCTGTCAAACTTGAGCTGCCTTGACAGCCCTTTTTGTTGGTCAATCCAATATCCAATAATCCTTTCTTTATTGCCAATCACATTGAATATCTCAAAGGCTGAAGCTTCTAACTGTCCCTTGACTAGCTGAAAATTCCCACTTAAGCTTCGAAATTTTAAACGTAGGACTGTTTCAACAAGAGTTTTACCCATGGCACTGGTTCCCAAGGTTGCAAGATTCGTGCTAACATTTTGTTTCATAGAGCTAGAATTTTCTATTGCAACCTTCTCCACTGCCATTGCCAGTGCCAAAACCGTATCATATGCCCATAATCCAAAGAGATTGAGGCCTGCAGTCATCTTCTTCGGTTTTTTCCATCTTATCATGAAGTCCTCAAGATATTTTGTCATTGGTATATGTGGCCTTACTCCCAACACACCTTCCATTGAATCCATGGCTT